TTTAAGCATTCTTTTAACAACTGGCCATGCCCGAGGCAACAGAAGAAGTCTCAAAAAATTCTGAATCATTCTGGTCATAGTCAAATTATTTAAAACTCATTAAGAGGGACGCCTGGGTGGCTCAGTTGGTTAAGCAGCTGCCTTCAGCTCAGGTCATGATCCCAGCGTCCTGGGATCGAGTCCCACGTCGGGCTCCTTGCTCGGCGGGGAGCCTGCTTCTCCCTCTGGCTCTGCCTGCCATTCTGTCTGCCTGTGATTGCTCTCTCTCCCTCTCTCTCTGACAAATAAATAAAATCTTTAAAAAAAAAAAACTCATTAAGAAAAATGTAACTGTAGATCCAAATTTAAAAGTGTACTTATGTGCTCATGTGTAGAAAAGAACTAATGAACATGAGAAATATTTAGAACCGAATTAATGAAAATGCTATATATAACTTGTGAGATGAAACGAGGGTAAATTTAGAATAAACCTAAATATACAGGCATTTAGGTTTATTGAACCTATATAATGAATAACAACTGAAAATGAATAAGTAGATGAATTTAAATATTCATGAAGAATAAAGTTAACCACCCCCCAAAAAGAAGAGAGAAATAAAAAAAGATTGCAGAAAATAAGAAATAGAAAGCAGAATAACAAAATGCAAAGATACTCTTTGCAAGTGCTCAAAAAAAGAAATCCTTAGTGAAACTGATTGTGGAAAAAGGATTTGAATGACTGATACATTAGAAAAGGAGCAAACTTGTCTAATAAAGAAACCCACAGGAAAAGAAATCCCAAGGGGCTAATAAAACTATGAGGAAATGCTCAGCTCTATTAGTAATGACAATTGTAAATTCAGGTGATAGATATCCCTCGTGAGATACCACTTCCCATTCGTCTAAATTGGTAAAATATAAAAAGACACAAAATACCGAGTTGGGCAAAGATGTATTGTGTCAGGTGCTCTCACGTAGCACTGGTGCATGTATGAATTAGAAGTTAGTTTTGCAATACCTGGTGAGGATGAAGGTACACAGGCTCTAGGACCTAGCAATTCCACTCCTTGGTGTAACCCTTCAAATAGTTCAATAGTTCTCACATGTGTGCAAGAATGACCATTGGACATTATTCTTAATGGCAACAAGTGTAAGAAGCTGAAGTCCATCATTAGAACATTGGGTAAACTGTAGCAATTCACTTCACAGCGTTATGTATCAAAATGGTTAAGGGGCACCTGGGTGGCTCAGTCTGTTAAATGTCTGCCTTTGGCTCAGGTCATGATCCCAGGGTCCTGGGACTGAGTTCCCCATCGGCTCCCTGCTCAGCGGGCAGCCTGCTTCTTCTGCCTGCTGCTCCCCCTGCCTGTGCTCACTCACTCACTCACTATCGCTCTCTCTGACAAATAAATAAAATCTTAAAACAACAACAACAAAAATCGATGGTTAAATACATTGAACTTTGGAGGGGAAAAAGTTGCCGAAGAAATATGTTTGATTCATTCATACAAAGTTCTCAAATGTGTGAAGAAACCCTTTATCAATTTACTTACATGGTAATTGTGATTTATAATGCATATATATATATATTTGGTCTTTATCCCCTTCTAACACAGAACCCTGTACTTTCCCAGGGAGTGATGAAGGTGTCTTTTGTTACATTAATGGTTACTTGTAGAATCCACCCAAGGATGGGCAGGGCTTGCCTATAGGACCCTGTGACTAGAGAGTTGGAACTTTCACTCCCACATACCCCACACCCTCCCAGACCTGGGGGAGGGGAGAGGGGCGGGACATTGAATAAATCTCTAAGGGCCAGTGATTTAATCAGTCATGCCACTATAATGAAGCTGGTATAAAAACCCAAAAGAAGGGGATTGGGAGAGTTTCCAGGTTGATGAACAGATGATTTAGGGAGGAGGTTGTGGGAACTCATCTTCTGTAGCCCGTCAGAAATACAGGTAATAATTTGGACTAGCATCTGAAGTACAAGGAAAGGGTGGAGAGGAACCTCCGATCTATAGATTAGAGTCTGGGGTTATGACTGGCATCTGAAGGGAGGTTGGGAGGGGCAATCTTGTAGGACTGAACCCTTAACCTATGGAATTCTATTCTGTGCGCTCTCTTGGTATAGAGTTAGAACTGAGTGTATTGTGGGACACGCTGCAGGTGTCCAGAGCATTGTTTGTTACTGGTGTGGAAACCACCCTGCCTACATACCCATGTATGTACTATACTAACGTAAACATGTTAGTATATCATTGCACTTTGGTTCATGCTTGAAATATCTTACATTTTTAGGATAGCACTACATTAAATCACTTTATGGAAGAATAGTGGAACTTGGGACTAAGTTACTGCCCTTAAGTAAGAGAACGAGCTTCTTTTTAGAACGAATAAGGGAAGTATGTCATTGTTTACCATCCACCACCCACCGCTCCCAATCTCCCCAGATCCCCCACAATCATACTTTCTTGCACAAGGAAACTCAGCCACCTTTAGTAACAGACCCTTATAGGAGCCACCACCAGGTTTCATCAGTAAGCCTTGGGCATAGGCAGGTGAAAAAGTAAATTCATCAACAGTCTATAAGGGGAAGGAAAGGAGAACTCCAGATGTTTTGGGGTTTTTGCCTCACTATTCCCAAACAAGTTTTTATGTTTTTTTTTTTTTTTTTCCAAAATGGAAATAGCTGTACTCCTTTTTCCTCATTAAGATATAACTCAGGGGCACCTGGCTGGCTCAGTCAGTTGAGCATGCGACTCTTTTTTTTTTTTTTTTTTTTTTTTTGAGCATGCGACTCTTAATGTTGGAGTTGTGAGCTTGAGCTCCATATTCAATGTAAAGATTAATCTTCTCTGTAGAGAAACTCAAACACTAAAATAAAATTAAATCACCCACAATGGCACCTTCTCACAATTACTACAGATATTTTTGTCTGTATCCTATTCATATGTATAGTGTTTACCCAAAAGAGCACATGGTACATTTTTGTTTTTCACCTACTTTTTATGTTGTGATGTAATCTTAGAAATAGTTCCATGTCTTGGGGGAAAAAAAAAATAATCTGTCATACGTGTTTTGGTGGCTGAATAGCATTCGACTGTGTGGTCAAGCCACAGTGTCTTTAACCAAGCCACTGTTGGTTTTCCCAGTTTTTGCTTATATTCAATACTGCAGTGAACACCCTGCACATGCGTCTTTGAATCCTTGTCCACTTGTTTATTTGAAATAAGTTCTTAAAAGGACCTATGCCGGATCAAGGGGATTGCGTAATACATGGTGAGGCTTACCAATTGTTAAGTTTCCAGCAGTCTGGAGACTCAGGCAGGAGCTGGTGGTGGAGTCCGAAAGCAGAATCGCCCCTCTCTAGGTAACTCATTTGCTGCTCTTACCTGTCCCCTCCATACCGATAGATACTCATTCTGTGTTGAATAGATATTTTGCCTATATCTTCTCTTAGTTTCTGGCTTTGTCTTTTTACTTTCTTCATGGTATCTTTTAATGAGAATTTCTTAATTTTACCGTAGTCCATGTAATTTCTTTCTTTCATAATTAGCTCCCTTTTGAGTCCTCTTTAATCTTTGTCTCTTAAAAGCTATTTTTTTAAAGATTTCTTATTTATTTATTTGACAGAGATCACAAGGAGGCAGAGAGGCAGGCAGAGAGAGAGGGAGAAGCAGGCTCCCCGCAGAGCAGAGAGCCCAATGTGGGGCTCGATCCCAGGACCGTGAGATCATGACCTGAGCCAAAGGCAGAGGCTTTAACCCACTGAGCCACCCAGGCGCCCCTTAAAAGCTATTTTTCATGTTTCCTTAGTTTCATCTGTACTTAAAAGTGGAAAGGGAGCATAATTCACATTACCTGGAACTATTTTCCGTGGATCCTACGTTGTAAGATATTTTGCAGTTTCGGTATTAACGCACCAAACATTCTTATCTCCTGCTGGGAACAGCAGCTCCTCTCTCTATTTTGGGGGAACTTCTCAGAGCCCATCTGTTGTAGCATGTCTTCTTGGCCTCAGATGTAAGCTCTTGACCCAAATTGGGCTAATGTTACTTTTACCCCTTCGCCACAGTGACTGGTGCAAATACAGCCTTAGGACTCGGGGTGGGACAGTCAGGGAGGTGACCAATAGCTGTTTGCAGCTGTGGTTCTAGGTCAGTCAGACTGCAGCTCGTGAAAATGAAGCCAGTTCCAAAAGAGAAGTAGAATGGAGAGGCAGCAGATCTTGGCAGTGTTATATCACAGGCTGCCTAAAACTCACTCCACCTTGGACTTTGCTGTGGCTGTGGTGACGTAGGCCAGGAAATTCTCAACTTTTATTAAAATCTGGTTTGTTTCGGTTTTTGTTTTTTGCTTTAGTTAAAGGCTTAAAATAAGCCTGCTTTAAAATATAGTCCCATGGGGCACCTGGGTGGCTCAGTTGGTTAGAGGTTGGACTGTTGATTTCAGCTCAGGTCGTGATCTCAGGGTCTTGAGATCGAGCCCCCCATGGGCTCTGCACTGAGCCTGGAGCCTGCTTGAGATTCTCTCTCTCCCTCTGCCCCCCCTCCCACCTTGCTATCTGGTGTGCACACGCTCTCTCTCTCTAAAAAAAAAAAGTAGCTCCATGGCCATATAAGTTTGAGAATTCTCCTTTTATGTCTTATTTTAGAGATTCACGAAGTATGTCAGCCTATTAAAGGTCATAAGAAAACATGCAGTAGAAGAAGCTGTTTATCTTTATTTAACTCAGTAATTCTCAAACTGATTTTTAACATGAATGCTTTCTTATGGTGCTTCTATTAATACCTCATAGACTCTAGGCCAGCAGGTCATTGGTTTGGGAAATGCTGATCATAGGTGCGGCAAGCTTCACGGCAAGCTGACAGATGAAAGGTGCTTTTATCTCTGAGCTAGGTTTTGAAAAATGCTGACATTTAATATATGAGCAATGCATGTTGTCTTTCAAATTTGGCAAAGAGTCTTATAAAAAAATAAATTTAACACAAGCACTCTGCAAACCTTTTCTTGCGCAGGTTAGCCAATACACATTTGCTATGTGCAGTTATAGAGAGAAAAAGTCTGAACCACAAGAACTAATGCAGCTGGAAGGATACACTGTGGACTACACAGATCCCCACCCAGGTAATTCTAAGCTGTGTCACGTTCTCTGCCGTTCATGGATTGATGAAATTCTCATAAATATCCTCTCTCTGTTCTAGGTTTCAAACTCTGTTGAATGAATAGGGGTCATATTTCACTTACGTACCTGGAGAAAACCTCATGAGATTCAAACTATATTTTTCTGAGGGCTACTTAGCTTTAGCATAACTCATCATTTCTGCTTTCTTTAGGACAAGGGTGCAATATGTGAAAGTTACTATAATAACAAAATTATGTAAGAAACATCAGCAATGCTTATAGGAACTTTTGTACCAGAAGCCAAAAGGTACAAGAGACAGAAATAGGGAAAGAAGTGGCAAATGAATTTTTTGCATTATCTACCAATTTTCTCCCCAATACCACAGTCTTAAATTCTCTCCTTACTTCCATATTAATATAGGTACGTACTAGATGCTTGGTATATACCATTGGTGAGGGAATGAATTAATGACTATGTGGAGATTAATGAAATTAATAAAGCAATATTAAGAAATACAGAGCTTTAATTAATACAGAGATTAAGAATTTAATATGGAGAGATTAAAAGTAGGAATCTGTGTTCGCATTCACTAATTGGTCACAGAAAAATGCAAAATATCTTCTTTATGAAAGAATTCTCCAAAGGATAAAATACCATACAGATACAAGTATCACTTTTGCCCTACCTGTCTTTCATTTCCCCTAAAATCACCATGTATTTCTCCTGCATATAGAATGAGAAATGTGCCAAAAGATAAGACTTTCTTCCCTGACATGAGTCTGCAGACCATGCTATATATTTCTATGGAGGTTTGTACGGCTTGCAGAATGTTACTACTATGTCATGAGCTCTTCATTTCCTTAAGCTGTTTTTAATTTTTAAAGTGACATGGAAGTTTAAGCCTTTCTTTTATTAATAGCATTGAGCTACTAATGTCAAACTGATTCTCTTCCATCTGACTGTTGAGTGAATGAGCTTGAAATCTGCCAAGTATGTAAGTTTTTAATGACGTCTTTCTTCCTCCACAGGCCTTCAAGGTGGTCAGATGTTCTTTAATGCAGTTAAAGAAGGAGACACTGTGATATTTGCTAGTGACGATGAACAAGATAGAGTATTATGGGTTCAGGCCATGTATAGGGCCACAGGTCAGTCCTATAAACCCATTCCTGTGATTCAAACCCAGAAGCTGAATCCTAAAGGAGGGACTCTCCATGCGGATGCTCAGCTTTGTAAGTTGTGCTGAAAAATAATTGGATTATCAATTAATAACCTTAATAAGATATAAAATTGAGACACATTTGTTTAGTATCATAGTTTACATCATTAATGAATTCCTAATTGAATAAAAATCATTTGTATTAGTAGCCATAGAATCAGCGCTCTAATTTTTTCACATAGTTTTGGAATAAACATTGCCTGGGTTTTTCAGTCATGAATTTGCCAAGCATTGGGGTATCTCTGGGAATCTCAAGACCATATAAGAAAACTCTCCAAAACTTCTCCAATACTGTTTTAATAAAATAATAATAATATTATTATTATAATAACAAACATGATATTATTTAATATTTAACATTTTATTTCATTTTAATAAAATATATTTTAATAAAATATAATATATATTATATAATATTATTGTATGATAAATTTAATAATATCTTAACTAAAAATTAATAAAATACTATTTTACTTTATGTGTTTTATAAAAATGGGAAAAGTGTTGTGAAAACAAATAGGCCTTGACAGGACTCCAGAACACCAAAGTGATGAACCATCCTTTCCTAGGTTTGTTCTTAATACTCCAGAAGGATAATAGGGCTTTGTTCTGTTGTAGATTGATTTTAAAAAGGGGTAAGTCATCAATCCAACTTTCTTTATCTAAATACCTTAGTATTCCTGTCATCCTTTGTATGCTAATTTAAATCACTTAAAAATTTTTATTTTTCCTTTAAATCTATAAGTGACTAATAACAAATGATATAATAATTATAGAAGCATTTTCAAACACAGCTTTAATAATCATTAAACCAAATATTCTAACTTCTTACACTTCTTTGCAAAGCTTCCCTAGTCTCCTCTATTGTAAGTCAGTTTTTTTCTATGACCTTAAATTCAATTTTTGATCTTCTGGTCAAAAGGTTCTACTATTAAGGTTCTTCTACAGGAGAGTAACATCTTGACATGCATTATTTTGTTCTTGTACTTTTCTTGTATCAAATAACTGCTCTCTTTTCACTATCACATCTGGGCATCTTAATGGCATATTAAGCTGAACAATTAATGATGGAAGATGAGCTCAAGTCCGGCTACCTTTGTGTTACAGGGTTAAAAGTATACATCTTTAAACTTACCCCAGTCCATCTTCATAGCACTTCATCAATAGTGTTTGAACCTAAAAAGAGTAGTTCTCCCCTTCTAGCCTCTAGACTACTCTTGTCCTACATTTTACTTCTACACATATTATAAATCCCACAATACCTTGCTATTATAATTATTGCCTTAACAGTCAGTTACCTTTTAGGGAAATTTAAATAATATGAGAAAACATTTGTTATATACTTACCCAGGTAGTTATCAGTTCCATTGTTCTCCATTGTCTTGTAGAAATCTTTTACTTCTTGGGGAACCTGGGTATCTCAGTCCGTTAAGCGTCTGCCTTCTGCTCAGGTCAGGATTTCGGGGTCCTGGGGTCGAGCCCTGCAACAGGCTCCTTGCTCAGCAGCGAGCCTGCTTCTCCTTCTCCCTCTGCCTGCTGCTCCCTGGATTTTGCTCTCTCTCTCTCTTTTCCTGAGTCAAATAAATCCTAAAAAAAAGTTATTGAAAGACTTCTTTTGAGTTAGGTGTAAGTCTGGTGATGATTAATTCTTTTAGCTTTCTTATATATGAAAAGGTAATTTACCTTCATTTTGAAAAAAAAGTTTTCTTTCAGTACTTTAAAGATTTTGCCTTACATTCTAACACCTTTTTTTGTAACGAGAAATGTGCTCATTTTTGCCTGTTCCTCTATACATAATGTATCTTTTTTTCCCTCTAGCTGCTTTAAAGATCTTCTCTTTAACACTGGTGTTGAGCAGTTAGCTTATAATGTGCCTTGATGTAGTTTTCTTTCTGAAAATGTCCTTGAGTTTTATTCTAAGACACAATTAAGTCACTTGGAAACAGTTCAATCTTTTCAGGTTTTACTCGCTTTCTTAGATGGAGCTAAACAGTGTCTAGTCCTGGATTAATCCATTTTCCCCATTTCTGGATCAGGGTTCTTCTTAAAGACTCTAACTGAAGACCCATGAATTTTGAGGTTTCCTATTGGCTGTTGAGAACATGTACTATTGCAGGCTCCGAGCTCTGTGTGAGTTGTGGGCTCTGCCCCCTCTCATCATTTAGGATGATTTCTGCCCTGGCCAGAGGTAGGTAGTCTCCTCACGTGTGTGAAGCGGTCACTATTCAGCTGAATATGGAAAGAGGAAGGGGGATGAAACCATATTCTTGAAGGTGGACATAGCCATTTTGGCTTTCCTGAATTGTCAGGTCCGTCTTCTCAACTTGGGGAGCCCGCTAGTGCTTGTGGGCTCTCGTTCCCTGTGCCTCAGCTCACCACATTTGTTTCCTGTCTCTCAGGAATCACTCTCTTGGGTTGTCTGATGTTCGGTGTTTTGAGAACTATTTTTTAAATGTATTTTTTCCTGAATTTTTAGCTGTTTCAAATAGGAGGTAAATCCATGCTCCATGATGACATCTTGACAAGAAACAGAATGGTTGTTTTTTGTAAGTTAGAACCAGATTTCTCAGCCCTGCCTATTAATATTTTGGGCCAGGTAATTCTTGGTTTCAGGGGTTGCCAGGAGGGCTAGCCTGTGAATTATAGGATGCTTAGCTTTATCCCTGGCTTACACTCACTAGATGCTGATAGCAAACCATACCCCCACAATATGATAACCAGAAATATCTCCAGACATTGTCAAATGTTGAGGGGGGTGGGTGCAGAGTTAAAGATGGGCTAGAAACACCCTCATTTGAGAACCACTGAGTTACAGTGACTTGAAAATTATTTTTGTGAAAAGGTCTCCTCATTCATTTGTATTTCAGTATTTTTTTCACATCCTAAGTGCAAGAAATACCCAAGGAGTGCACTGAGTTCACAGATACCATCCATCTTGTGTCATGGCAAGAAAAATGGTCAGGAACCACTGGCCTAGAACATTAAGGCCAGAACTACACAATACAGATTTAATGAATATAATATCTAGTAATCAGTTGATTCAAATAGCCATGTAATCTCTTTTTCACAAAACCTTTCTACTGTCAGATATCAGCCTATTTGTCAAAGCAGTGTTGATTAGGCTAAGTGGAATGGAGTTTTCTAGCCCCTGGATTCACTTGTTCCAAAAAATCCAAACTTGTTCTAAAAAGCCAAACTGTTTTGGTTATGTTACCAACAGCTTTCATGTATTTCAGATGTTTAGTTAAGTTTTCTATCCCTGCAGATCCTGCTGTTTTCTCTTTCTTAAAAAGGCGGGGGGGAGGGGAGGAAGGAGAAAAAAATGAGTTTCTACCTCATTGAATGAGAATACTGATGTTAACCTCTATCAGAGAAGCCATCCTTTGGACTTCTCAGAGAGTAGTTAGCCCTTGGTATTTCCTTCCCTTCTGTGATTTCCATGGCATGCCTTTTCTTCTTTTTTGATCATCTCTAGGAAGAACAACTTTCAGAGTCATTAGTAGAAAATAAGAAAATGATATGAAATTAAAATGACTAGTTATAGGCATCAGAATGCTCCTAATCTATTTAAATATGCTTTTTCTTTCCTTTGCTGACCAATAGCTGGTAAGGGTACGTATTCTCATGATTTTTTTCTTTGCTTCATTTATCAAAATTTTTATAATAATATGATATTCGAAGGAATATCATGATCTTGTTTACAATGTTAGTCTCCTATTTCCTAGGCAAACTGAGAATATTTAGGTTAACGTTACCATTCATGAAACAAAAGTCTATTTTTGCCACAAGAGAAAAGTAGGAAAAACTTAATATCTACCATTCACGTGGACATAAGATAATGGCTGTGAAGGTGTTATATAGCATAAAAAGAAATACTCAGTAATGTTAACTGGAAAAATACTGAACTATGTATGTGATATTTTAACTGTTAAAAAATTGTATAAATATAGGTAGACTTATACCTAAACTGTTCACAGTGGATGAGTTCAAAGGAATTAGTTACTGATTCATTTCCTCAGTTTTCTGACTTAACTTTGAAGTACCTATGTTATAACTTAAAGAAAGCTCTTCTTAAAAATTAAACACACTGAGTTAATGTTGAGATAGAATGAAATAATGACTTTCCAAAGTCTATCTTATTTGGAGACAACCTTATTATCTGTTTTAGGATATAAATTATGATATGCATTTATAGATTTTTCTGGTACGTGAATCTATTTGACTTCACTATTTCTTTGATTTTGAGGATATTTAGAAATTATAAGAAAATACGGTAAACTGAATGGGTGGGCAAGGGGGTCTGCTTGCTATCCAAATTTTCTGCTTCAAACAGTACATTGCCTTTTGCCAGACTTTTGACAGACATTCTTCAGTTAAACTATTCTTCACTATGCAAAGCACCTGTTTTTTATTTTTCTCTCTTAGGTATATAAGGTCATACAATATGTATGTAACATAATATAATACAACACAGTACTAGTTGACTTCCAATAATAAAGAAATGTCAGGGGCACCTGGGTGGCTCAGTGGGTTAAAGCCTCTGCCTTCGGCTCAGGTCATGATCTCAGGGTCCTGGGATCGAGCCCTGCATCGGGCGCTCTGCTCATCGGGGAGCCTGCTTCCTCCTTTCTCTCTCTGCCTGCCTCTCTGCCTACTTGTGATCTCTGTCTGTCAAATAAATAAATAAATAAAATCTTAAAAAATAATAATATAAAAAATGAACTAGAAAAGTTACCTTCTTTTTAAGTCAAAAATTTTTTTTAAAAATTCTTAAATCGGAATAGGACTTTACATTTAATTTTATGACCTTATTTTCTTGATTGACCTAGTAAGTTAAATTTCACACTTCACAGGTATGTTTTACTTTACGATGAGTACATAATTTCAAGTAAATGTTGAATATTGGTTTGCTTTGCTTACAATTCTACATCTGTGCGTGTTGATTAAAATTGTCATGTGAAAATACTACTTATTTGTTATTTGCCTCAGAAAGCAAGATGTGTACATTCATACATCCATTTTTAGTCAATTTAACAAAAACAAGCTAAGAAATTATCTGGGTCAATAACAGAGGTGTGAACAAACTCCTAATTAATGTATGTATTGATGTTTCTCTTTGGTGCTCAGCATAAAATGTGTACGTGAAACAAAGAATATCAACCAAGATATTCTACAGAAAATTTTGTAACATAAGAATTCCTATTAGTGGCCACATTGGTGATATAAAAATACATGAGGTCCTTCTCTGTGCCATGTTTAACTTCTTGTGAATTTTCAAGCTCAATGAGAGTTTGATCTACAAAGAAAGTATAATCAGATGTGATATCAGTAGATGCCACTACGGGCAAGCTTAAACCATAGAACCATTTTCAACCAAGTTACTGTATTTCAGAAGGTTCATATGCTGCTTAGTTCAGCTCAGGATTTTGCAGAGAAGAGGATGAGCTCTTAGGTAACAGCACCTTCTTCATAGGCCTTTTGGTACTTGGGTCCCAGACCTGGACACCGGAGTAGTCTCAGAATGCTTATGAATAACTACCTCTTCTCCTGCAATATCCCATTTGCCTCTCCCCCACTTCCTTTTCCTCCCCTGTTTTATGTCCCTAATTTCTCTCAACACCAGGAGCAAGAGAGGAAAAAAAAAGAAAGGAAGGAAAAAAGGAAAAAAAATGCAGCATCCTTAGAAGTAGTTGCAAAGGAAGACAAAACATTTCAGTTAAATTTTTCCCCATCTCACATTTGGAACTCTGACTTAGATATCTACCCTGGGGCTTGGATTCTTGAGCACATAGGGGCTGGATGTGGTCCGTACCCACCAAAAAGCCCCCTCGCACATACCACAGCTGGGCCTACTAGCTTGCTAATAGTCCTCACGTTGTTTTGTAGGCTAGCTATTTGCAAGTCAGCGTTAACTGTTTAAATTGGTACCATCAGCCTACTTATTCTTTTCCCCTGACTTCCAACAGCTATTACCCTAATGAAAAATATAAATTTTCAGGTTCCATTTGAATAAGCCTCTATAATTCCATAAATCTATAGCAAATAATAATCTTTCTCAGTTTGGGTTTTATTCCATCCACTTTTACCACACCTGGTGACAGTACCACCCTAAAGACGCTGGAGCATATATCCAGCTGTTACCATAGAAACCCTGCACCAGTCTCCTCAATTACCATGTCCCACATCTGTAGTTAGTCCATAGGTTAATCATCACAATTTATGACAGTTTTGCAGTGCATTGTTCAAGCTCCTATCTTGTTGGTTTCTTTTGATAATTTTCTTATATTGTTTTGGAAGACAAACTGAACTGAAATTTGTCATTATCAGTGAACATTTGATTAATACCATGAATGATTTTTCATTTAAAACTAGTCATCATAATTTTGTGTTTTAATAAACATTAATTGAAGGTAATCAAGCATAACCCAGTTTTAAAGCAAGTCTCCAAACCTTGTATTTGGTTATGTAATTGATTAAAAGCACAATTCATTTGATCCAGATATCTCTGGTTTCTAAGAGTCGACGTAGATATGTTATGCCAAGAGAAAACTATATTTCACAGAAATAAAGAAGTAGGTAATATTTTAACAAGAGATGTTTTCTTAGTTTACTTGAGTTCATGAGAGGATTTTAAAGTGAGCGATTTCTCACACAAGTAGATCGAAACTGTTGCTTTTTCAAAATTTATTTCTTTATAAATTCATGGAAACTAATGAACCAGTGGTTCATGGTGAAGTATATTTACATAAAATATTTTAAATTGTGCTTATCAGACCTAAAAAGAACGAGATAGAGATTCTTGGTCTTTACAGCCTGTCTTTTGAAGATGGGATACTCCCTAAGAATACATTTCACTTTCATAGAATTATAGCACCAGAGAGATTGTAGGGTTTTTTTTTGTTTTTTTTTAAATAGACTATTGTTCACCTACAAGTTTTATCACCGTCAATACGGAGTCTGTTTTTATGGCTTAAATTGCTATTACGAATATTTTTATCACTAAAGGTAATCATTGGCAAAGTAATTTTTCATTCATATGTGTGATTCCAAAAGGCTTGACACATTAGCAAAATACAGTTTAGAATTCTATTTCTTGAGGAAAATGCTTCATAAAATATATTCATTTTTGAAAATATGATTTAATTATAGAAATGAAACAGACTCTTTTTTTTTTCAGGAACTTGTAGATATTTAAAGACTATATGCCATTGCTTCAAAATAAAAATTTTGCTTCTATAAACCTTTATAAAAGATAAAAGTAAAAAGATAATTATATAGCAGGTACTGTATGAATTGTAATATATGTATTTTGTAGAAGGAAAGAATTATGGATTTTCTGTGGAATTTCTTATATATCCTATTTTCAACAGATAAGTCATTATTGGGTGTTATTTTTAACTTCTTGTTATGACCTTCTCTGGTGAAAGAAATAATGAATAAAATTCAGCAGTTGTTTTATAAAACTAGTAATTACATAAAGGTGACACTAAAAGTTTTTTTTTTACTCAATTAAATGGATAAATGAAGATTTTAAGATTATTTAAAATACAGAATGCCTTGCATTTTTCAGTATCCTGTCTATTCATATGATTTCACATTATCATATATGTAACTTTGAAAGACTTTCTTTTGAAAGACTATCAGACATAAGAATGAAATATAAAAGAAGTTGAATTGTCTCATTTCTCAGTTTAGGAAAAGCAGTTTAATAACATTCAGTGTTCATCTAATTAATACTAATGTACCACATGTAATGCATTTAATTGTTCAGTTAAGTAATTAGTGAATGTAAAGGAATACATATGCCGGTTTCTCCATGGATCCTAACCTCATACCTTCCAACATCAATGAATGCCCATTCGTTGCTTACATGCTATGTTCACCTTTTGATAGCGCTTGTCACTGATGTGAGATCTTTTTTTTTTAATGTGATTCTGAAGACCCTTCAGCTTGAATTACGTAGTTCTTACATCCACAAATATGGCTGAAAGTTGAACTTGACATAGGATCAATATGATCTGGGCTAAATATCTAAATGTGACTGACTATGTTAGCATCATGTCCACAGATCAATACTGAGTTTTATTATGAGCCCGACTCTATAATTGTGTTTAATCAATAAACTTTTGTCTCCTTTCCTTTGCAATTTTAGGATTGTACCATATAGGTTTTAAGAACTACATTCAGCTTACATTTAAGACTCTACTTCTTATAATTACCAGAATGAGATCTATCTATGAATTTTAAGGAACAATGGAGCCTCAGCTCTACCATTGTCAGGAGAGTCCACTTTTATCCCGATAACTGATTGCTTGCCCGATGCATGCTTCATTTCTAACCGAGCTAATGTAGTAACACCCCAGCACTCCTTTTGGGTGGTGTGTGGCTTTTTCTCTCTCTACTTAGTAAATAACTCGCATTGAAGACTTTGACAAAACATACCATTAATGAAAGCAATCATAAAAGCGTGCCTTTTGATAAACCCGCAGGGTCTACAGGCGTTGAAAGATGCAATCTGTAAAGAACAATAAATTTGGACCTTTGATTGAAGTGCCATTTGGGACGTTATGCTTTGTCTGCATATTTGCACAAACATGATGCTCCCTTTTTCATGTCTCTTAAACTTGAAGCTTGAGAGCATTCACTGCCATTTCTACATTAAGGTTGGTCCCATTAAAGACTCAAAAAAAAAAAAAAAAGAAAAGACTGGAAGTGGTCCAGTGGAAGCCTGTGTGTTCATTTCTGCCCTAGTTTGCCATTTGGAAAGCAAGCTTCTACCCATCTTTGCTGTTTTTATATGACAAGACCTGGGTTCTTTTCCATTGGTTCCTTCTGTAAATACATGCTTAAAATGCATCTATGTTTCTTAAAATTGGAAAATAAGATTAGTTCTCTGATGAATATTAGAAGTAGCTTAGAGTGAATATACAAATTTCCTCATTTCAAATGATTTGCAGATTTTTCCAGGTCATCATTCATTAGGCTCCCAAAAAAATTGCAATTTGTGTTACTATGCTGAATTCTTGGCATTGTATTTTTTATAATACAAAAGAGTCTGGTATCATGAGGCATGCATTTTGTGTTCAAAAACTGTATTTGCCCATTATTAAGCCAGAAAAATAAATGTATTGTACATCCTTTTCTGAATTTACAGATGCAGACCGTTTTCAGAAACATGGTATGGATGAGTTTATTTCTGCTAATCCTTGCAAGCTTGACCACGCCTTCCTTTTTAGAATACTCCAGAGGCAGACTTTGGATCACAGACTGAATGATTCCTATTCTTGCTTGGTAAGTACAAGTCTGTCTCTCCAGTTTCCTATAGGTTAGAATGAAAGATTTTTTTTAAAGTGAGAAACACTTGTTGTGAAGCGGCATTTTATTCCTGACTCCTTTAATAACTGTAGTTGGGAGTTAAGGATAAAGGATTCCAATCGATTGCTTCCCAATTTAAAAATTATACACTTGAAGACCACTGCTGTGCCACTCAATAGACAGGAGAGGAGACTCAAACGGACACTGAATTGTGGTTTATCAGTCCCTCTGGAGAAGGCTGAATGAAAATAAAGGCTTTAATGAAGATAAAAAACCTCTGGGAAAGGATTTACTAACACCTGTATAGACATGTGAAGGTTTAAATTCTGCTTACCAAATGTTGCTATCTTCCATCTCTCCCTTTTGTTCCTGGAGAGACAACCCAGGTGACGGGGGAAGGAAACAGTGTGAGAAATGATAAGACAGGGCTACATGTAACAGAGGAAACCTTTGGTTTCATTTAGCCCTCCAAAGATAATTTGGATTCCTTAAAAAATTAAATTAAATCAAGAAAACTGCTACTCTCTCTGGTTGAAACCAGACAAAATTTGGGATATAAAGTATAATTTACCTTTTGAAGGAATGCTTGACTGCTCAGAATATGGGCATTAAACTGAAGCCTAGCATCCATATGGGCCCTTCCAAGGATTTACATTGTCGGTGACAATTCCTCTGAAATGTATCCAGCCGGACTTACCCTGTTTCTATCACCCCAGAGACCCTTGGCTCCTGAATGTGTCAGCTACCGACAGTAAAGCTACATTGTCTTTAAGATTTCAGACAGAATGTGCTCTAAGCTCATTGGAGATGCTTGAATAGACAGGAAGAACTGAAACCACTTACTGCTGTGATCACAACTTACTGCCTGATAAAGCATTTTTTAGAAAAAATTTTTTCCTGATAAATCATTCATAGACTCTTTATTAAGTACCTATTACTCAACATGTCACTGTATGGCCGAAACCCAGTCCAGCCCCAACTTTACATGAAGAGTAAGAGCATCACAAAACCCCGTGGTATCTTCCCAGGAGAAGCACACCTAGAGTGGACACCAGTAGGGGGCTTCCCTGGTGGATTCCACTCAGTGGAGTTAGTTAATGAGTGATCAGAAGTTGGTTGGTTGGGTGAACCATCCCACGTGTCATGAGAGGTCTGAAAACACTATAGCGTGTCTTCAGCTGTATCTAGAGCATGGTGTGATAGGAGTGTTTGGAGACAGAATGGTTCTGGAAGTAGATCGTGACTCAACCAGTGATTTTCAGTGTCCTGAGCCATTCCCTGAAGGTCACTGAACTACATGGAGATCGTAGTAACTCGCAGGCATGGTGCCTCCAATACAACACAGATGTGCTGTTTGTCCAGCCGAGGGCCTGCACCCAGACGTGCTGTTTGTCCAGCCGAGGGCCTGCCCCATCACCACAGTCATTAGGTGCTCTTTTTTCCTCCTCTTCTTTGTGATATTGCTGTCTTACCTTTCTACGTTTCTCACCAGTCTTTTCCTTCTCTTGCACAATTATCCTGCCTCCTTTCAAAACTGTTTTAGTCCATATAATTCATCGAAACATTTTATAAAGAAACTCTGCTTAACCCTGACCTCCAGTGTTAGCCAAGCAGGCTCACACGCACACACGAACACGCACGCACCCTTCACGTCTCATTTCAAGAGAACAAAAAAGCTATTGTAAGGCATTAGCTCTGTTTATATTGGTCCTAGAAGGACAAACTGAATGAGAACAGTGTCCCAAATATGCAAATTCCCAAATACTGCATGTTTACCACCACTAGACTTAACTGGAATTGTCTTAGTTCACTTTATAACATGTCATTGGCAACTAGGCAATTTCAATAATAGTGTCTGCTTTGACCATTCTCTTTTTATTGGATTCATACGGGAATTGAAGTTGGTCAGAATGTCATTCTCTGGGACTGACGACTTAGATACCGTGAATAAATTTGGCCCATTTTGAGTGACAGTGGAGAAAAGCAGGTAGTTCGTGCCTTGCCACAGCAGTGAAGAGAATCGTATTCGATTACGAGTGTCCCAGATCAGGTCCAAAATGGATGACATTAGCTTTATGAAAATAACATAAAACATACCACTAATTTAAAAAATATATATCAGAAGACACTTGGATTCAGCTTCTCCTTATAATGTCAAAGAGTGCCTGCAGAAAAGCAAATCCTAGTACAGAAAGGAAAAAAAATTTTTTTTTTCTTTTGCAGGGTTGGTTCAGTCCTGGCCAAGTCTTTGTGTTAGATGAGTACTGTGCCCGTTATGGTGTGAGAGGCTGTCACAGACATCTCTGCTACCTTACAGAACTGATGGAACATTCAGAAAATGGTGCTGTCATTGACCCAACCCTGCTCCATTACAGCTTTGCATTCTGCGCCTCTCATGTGCATGGCAACAGGTATTTTTACTTGCAAACACAGTGAAATGGGTAGGGTTGACTTGGAAAGAGAGAAAAATGTGCTTTGCCACTATCACCTAGTAACAGATTTTAAATAGCAAACACTTCTTGCAAGAGGTGGGGAAAAACCCACAAAGGAAAAGTGTACATCAATATGCTGTTGGTTTAGGTTAGCTGCACTTTATGTTTCTTTTTGCCGTTAAAGCCACTTGAAAGAGAAAGGGAGAGAATATCTATGAGATTAGAAGTTGCCTTTTAGTTCTTAGGTACCACCTAGTACTAGGGGCTGCACAGCTTAAGTGTCCTCTGTGTTTCTATTGTTATGCATATGTGTGTCTGGGTAAGGCTTGCTGGTGGGTTTGTGTGTGCCTGATGATTCTTGCTTTTCCACTGTGGAATAAGCTTTCATTGATCAAGCAAGATAAACAGGGAGGTTTATGTGGAATCTTCTCTTAGCCCCTTCCCTAATCTATACTTTATTTTATTTTATTTTTAATTTTACTTATGAATTGGTTACAGAGAAGGAGAGCACAAGCAGGGGGAGCAGCAGGCAGAGGGAGAAGCAGGCTCCCCGCCGAGCAAGGAGCCCCCTCAGTCCGTGCTTTAGGAACAAGTGTCCCTTTTTAGTGTTTTGAGCCAAAGAGGTAAAAAATCGTCTAATGCAGGCCCCCACAATCATGTGCCTCTAAGCTTAAAATCTCTCCATGTTTTAATCCCTCTCTTCTCTTAATCCTGTTCCCAGGGAACATTTTCTGGGGTTCCTCCCACAAAGGAGGAACCCTTTCTCCCATCCCCCTTTTAATTTGTTTCAATCATTATTCCTTCTCTCTCTCTCTCTCTCTCTCTATTTCCTTTCTTTCCACAACCCTGTGTAAGCTTTTACTAGCCTCACAACATAACAGAGTGGTCAAGGAACTCTGAAGTCAGATTACCAGGGTTCAAAGTAATACGAATTCATCGTGTAAGGTGTAGGGCAAGCTTCATACTCTAGTCTTGTCTGAACTACCCTATCGGTAAGGAAGATAAAACGTGGCATCTCTCTCAGAATCCATGAATCATGATGGGAATCAAATGCATGAATGTATATCAAGCATTTCGAACAGTGCCCAGCACATGAATAGTCAAAACAAGTTAACTGGTAGTTCCCATTGTCTTAAGTATTGTCAAGCTGCCAACCTACCTTTCCATTGTTCTCTTTTATCTTCCCCACCAAATTTCGCTCTCCATTCCTCTCATTGGGCTTCTGGCTCCTGGCTTGCCAAGAAGGCTTCTTGAAATAGATTGAGTAAGGACCTGGTCCTGTAGCCTCTTTAAGCCAGCTTCGCCCTCCTTACTCCTGTTGAAAAGCTGATGCTGCAGACTCTCTGAGGGCTTGTGCTGCTTGAGACGCTGCTCATCTTCCCTGAAGCAGGACTGTCTCATCTTGGCTCCCTTCTTATTTATTCTTGCCCTTCTCTTTGCTAATAACTTTTTTTCCTCCAGACCCCCAAGTGCAGTATAGTTCTTTTCTCACATGTGTTCTGGAACTTGCGCTGTTCTGAGGATTTTTCTACCTCACAGAAAAATTGTACTCCAGTGATCTTGCTCCTTTCCACAGCTTCGGTGACCTGTCTTTATACAGATAATTCCAAACCAATTACTCTCCTAAACTGTAGGTCTCTATCAACAATTGACAGCTGGAATGGTCCGGCACTTTCAACCCTCTGGGTATAAAATGAAGTCCATCCTCTTGGGGCGTCTGGGTGGCTCAGTGGTTAAGCATCTGACTCTTGATTTTGGCTCAGGTCATGATCTTAGGGTCTTGGGGATTGAGCCCCATATCGGGCTCAGTGCACAGTCAGTTTGGGATTCTCTCTCTCCTCTCCCCTTGCCCCTCCTCCCCTCTCTAAAATAAATAAATGTTGAAAAAAAAATTAAGTCCATCATCTCACTAAACTGGCTCCTGTACGTCTTTTAGCTCGTAGCAGGGTGCCTGGCAAAAAGTAACACTCCTGGCACAGAATAGGTGTTCAATAAACATTCGATTGATGAATGAACAACTGCATTAGTTAATGTTGATATCACGTCCATTCGTGGCCTATTCATTTTGCATTCATCTTTTTCTTTTATCTCCTAGACCCAGTCTGTTGCCCGTGCCAATGTTCTGCCTTCATAGCACCCCTCGAGTTAGACTTTATCACTTCCATCGCACTATCCAAATTCGAGCCGCCTTTTTCTTCTTGCTTATTGATCTTTGTATATCTCTCTACTACTTTTTCTCCCTACAGCAGTCTAGCAATCAGCTTCAGAATTACAGATTAACTTCTATTATACTCCTTTTAGAAAACTTCAGTGATTCTTGTTTGATTATGAAATTAAAGATAAGTTCCAAGCTACAGTATGAGGGCTTTCTCAATGTCGTTCTTGTCCCATCTTCCCGGACTTCTCTTCAAGTATCCCTCCCCAAATAATCTTTACCCCAGGCAACTCATTTATTTTCCACGTAATGTTTCTCTTTTTCCAAGTGTGTGATAGTCTGATATCATAAAACCCCTTGAAGAGGACTTCTGTTATTGCAAACACAAAATACCTTTTATCTGTAGTTTCCTTATAAACTTTCTCATGTAAACCTACATGCTAAATCCACACACACTCCCCTGCTTCTATCCCACAGGGTCCTATCTTGAAAGCAAAAACTGGTTCTCATCACCTGTTACGCTCTGTAGGACATACCATATTGCCTTGCATGTTTTGGCCACAATAAGTATTTGTTGAATTGAAGTCATCATTGTTGCCACTTCTCATCCCACAGTAAAATAAAACCAATCCTAGTCTCAGGATGTGTTCAAGGTTTTACCTCAGTAAAAGGTTCAGGGTTTTACCTCGGGTTTTACCTCAGTTCAGGATTTTAACTGAGCCTTACTTGGGAATTAGGGAGAAGTTGTAGATCATAGTCCCGTTTCCCATTACCCCAAAGTAAACCATCTCCACTCCACAAACTTTACTGGAGGGTAGGGAGCAGTAAGGGAGTGGCAAGAACAGGGGACGGTTGGGATGGCTGATCGACAACCAACCTGGGTGGTTTTTTTTTACTCAACCAGTTTCTTAGCTCCTGACCAGTGGATGACTTCCCCCTGACCAGTGGATATCAAAAGATAGCTCTATCAATGTTAGGCAGGACTTGGAAATGCAAGAGGATAAAAAGATGGCAGTGAAACAGACATACCCTAAGAATTTAGTGTGATCAGATGATTTTAGTCATTAACACTAAAAGGGATAATTAAATTGAAAACATTAAGTAGGAAATTCAGCTAATGCTTCCCCAAAACGTGTGTGTTTGAGACACATTTTAATGGAAAGTTACTGAGGCACTTTACTTTAACCCACTGGAAACTGCTGCTTCGGAGGCAGCATGATTTGAATCTATAGGTTGCCATAGTTACTTTTATTCTATAAAACTATTGTTTTTTTTTATAATGGTACACTGTAAAGTGTAATTTCAGGTGTGTTTATATGTTCATGTATGTATTATACCTAATATTACACATTAAATCCATCTTCTAGGTTAAAATGTGTACATTCTTTGGAGTCGCTGGGTAGTGGTAAACAAATTTGAGTCAGTATGGGATTCAACGTTTAGATGACACGTAGATTAAGGAAAAAAGGAGAAATGCCGGTCTTAGGGAAATTTGAACCTCAGTTTAAGGTAGAAGTTATCTAAGATAAACTGAAGGGTAACATGTTTCCTGTCATCTTCAGAGTCTAACAGATATTGCTCAGAAATGTCATGCTGTCACAGTAAAAGAATCAAAAAGAGACAAAAGATCCCTACTTGAATCTGACTCTAAAATCTGCAAGGTGACCTAGGCTGGGCAAATCACTTAACCTTTCTGAACCTCCAAGGTTCATATGTAGAAGGGGCAATACTGACATAGAGAGTATGTATATAGAGAATTATACTCTATGAGTACTGATTAGTTCTTATTCTAACACGCTTGCCTTTGCCACCCAGCCACGGGGGAGGTACATTGTGAGATGAGAAAACCAGGAAAAGTAGGTAGAGCTGTAACACCTCATGCCAAGTGGAAATACTGTGGCTCATACGTAATTAGAACTCTTCAGTTTTTTGCTGATAGAATGTTCGGGTTTTTGCAACTTGGCCTCGGGAACGTAAGCTTCTCTTCCCCAGGTCTGCGGTATCTGCTGTTCATAGAGACTTTTGTTGAAAATACCGTCCGCATCAAGTCTGACTTTTCCGCAGTCCCTGCATCGTCTCTCTTTAGGATCATTTTTATGTCTGTCCAGACACACATTCAGAGCACCGTTTGGCTCATTACCTGAGCTACCTCTGTCGAAAATTCAAAGGGAGAAAGGATTGCCTTTTGTTCCCGACTGAAGTGAAGGACAGCGGTGCTGTCTGGGCGGCGACGTCTCCGGAAGCACATTCTATTACACGGCTCCGAGCTCTCCCGGGGCTCCCTGCCGCCGCGTCTCCCGTGAATAGCTCTCGGAGCATCTCAGCGACGAAAGAAGAGAGTTCAACAGAAAAGGTCTGGCTGGTGCTCAGACTGAGAAGAGAGAGGAAAAGAAAGGCAGAAAGCAAAAAGCGAGTCAAGGACAGACACAGACACATTCCCGCAGGAGGACAGCCGCACGCGCCCGTGAATAGCACAGCCACTCCCTGGGCGAGCGCGCCCCTGAGGACCCACAGCAGCGAGAAAAGGGCCTTTCGGAGACAATGCACCGCAGGCAAAGTTCTAGGTCGATGTGTGAGGTTATACATCCTGGTTTCGCTCGTCAGGCGGAGGGCGAGGGAGCTAAAGCAGCAGCACAGAATGGCTGGGACGTCCCCACCGACTGTCGGGTGTGGATGCGGCGCCCAGGCGAAGGCAGGCCGGGCCCAGGACTGGGACAGGACTGGGGCGCATCCGTAGGGTCATCCCTGCTTTCTCTGGACTCCAGCTTGTGTCACAGAGTCGTAGGTGGCCTTCACGGGATCCGTCGTGCTATGATAGGATGAT